CTGTGGGACCCGTCTCTGATGATCCTCGGGCCACATCTGCCCATGAATGTGGCTTGTTTGGCCTGCAGAGAGCTAGAAACATTTCAGAACTCAGAGCTGCCAGGCAGGGCATGACCTTCCCACCTCCCCATGACCCCTGCAGACTACCTGAGCCCACTCCTCTCTCTTACCTGCCTGACCCCTGCCACCGTCTGCTTCTCTCTCAGTCCTCTCCCAGCCAGACATCTTGGTGGGAGCAGGGCAGCAGATGGCTGGAGGTCAGATGGGCTCTGGACTGGGAAAGGAAAGTGGGTGGGCATGTCATGGAAGCCAGGCACCCTATTAGGAAAGCTAGGATGCCCAACTTGTGACTGTGCTGGACTAGAAGTTTCCCCCAGCACCCACCACCTCTTTAAAGGAAGGCGTTTCTGTCTCACCAGACGTCTCTATGGCAGTAATTTTGCAGAACCAGTCATTGAAAACTGCCCATGCTGTCCTCAAATAGGTGTTTCCTGATGAATTCACAGCACGCACTTGGTCTGTGCCTCCGCTAAACAGAGAATCCATCCGTATAAACATGTAAAAGAGTGCTTTGAGAATCGAGTTTTCTGACAGTCGGCAAATAGTAGCCTGCCATCCGCAACTGGATGATTGAAGCCGAGTTCCCGTGGCGTAACGCAGGTTGGACGGTTCTCCTTCTAAATTGCTGCAGAAACCTCTGTAACTCAGTGATCCTGAAATTTGTTAGCTCCTACTCACCTAGCTTTCGGGAAGGCTAAGTTGGGGGTTAGTACAAGTGAACATCTCCAGGGTCTCAGATCCCGTCTCCCAAGAGATCAGAAACCACGGCAACAGGGGAAATCAACAGTCTGGAGGTGAAACCCACAGGCTGCCACTTTTCTGATCAGGCTTGTTCCTAGAGCACTGTTGAGAGAGCAGTGCTTCCAGGAGAGAATACCTGTGTTTATTCATTTGGTAATTCCAAAGCAATTTTCTTTTTTGAGATGAAGTTTTACTCTTGTCATCCAGTCTGGAGTGTAATGGCACGATCTCAGTTCACTGCCACCTCCGCAACCCAGGTTCAAGGGATTCTTCTGCTCAACCTCCTGAGTAGCTGCGATTACTGGCTCGCACCATCACGTCCAGTTAATTTTTGTATTTTTAGTAGAGACGGGGTTTCATCATGTTGGCCACGCTGCCCTCGAACTCCTGACCTCAGGTGATCTTCCCGCCTCAGCCTCCCAAAGTTCTGGGATTACAGGCATGAGCCACCACGCCCAGCCCAAAAATGATTATTGAGTGCCTACTGTGTGCCCTTGGACAAGACAGGCAGGGCCTCAGCTGTCTTGGAGCCTAACTTTGAGTGGGAAAAACAATTAAGTTAAAAGCTGATAAGCAAGACCATTGAGAGACTAAACAGGAAAGAAAACAGGGCAGTAAGATAGAGAGGCGGCCGACGGGGCGGAGCTGCTCTAGCGGGTGGCCAGGGAGCGTCCTGAAGGGAAGAAGGAGCAAGGCTATGGGCATCTGGAGCTGAACATGCCAGGCAAGCACAGAGGTTCTAAGGCAGGAACAGGCTGAGCCACATCAAGGAAGCGAGGCAGGTGCCAGGAGCTAGAGTCAGAGACGTCAGCAGGCACCCCTGAAGGATTGATTGTCAATGCCATAGGAAGTCACTGCGCAGCTTTAAGCAGGAGGCTCCCGTGATCTCATTTCCATTGTTAAAAAAAAGATTCACTGCTGTGTGGAAAATGAAGTGAGTGCAGGGTTAGAGGGAGACAGCCCAGATGGGAGGCAGAGAGACCAACTAGGAGGCAAGGGTGGTGTCTCTAGGAGAGATCACAGTGGCCCGGGCAGCAGCGCACGAGGTCAGGTCCAGGGCGTGTTCTGGAGAGAGTCCAGGGGCGCGCCAGCAGACTGGATGTGAGCAAGAAGCAAGAGGCGACAAGGGGATGGCGAGCTTTTTAGCAGCTTCTCAAACGATGGACCTATTTTTAAGGTAGTTGAAGACTAGACTTGGAGAAAGTGATTTAAGAATTTTGTTTGGGGCACATCAGGCATGGTGACTCACACTGGTAATCCCAGCACTTTGGGACGCCAAGGCAGGAGGATCCCTTGAGCCCGGGAGTTCACGAACAGCCTGGGCAACATAGTGAGACCCCATCTTTACCCTCCCCCCACATTTTTTTAAATTAGCTGGCAGTGGTGGCATGCACCTGTAGTCCCAGCCTCCCAGGAGGCTGAAACGGGTGGGTCACTTGAGCCCAGAAATTCGGGGTTGTAGTGAACGCTGATCAAGCCACTGCACGCCAGCCTGGGCAACAGAATAAGATCCAGTCTCAAAAAAAAAGAGAGCGCATTCTGTTTTGGGCACTTTAATATTGGAATACATGTGATATATCCAGGAAGAGAGGCCAAGCAGTCACTTGGGGCTTGGTGGAGAGGTCAGGGTTGGAGATGAGAGTAACTGTGAGCCTGGGACCCAGATGGGATCACCTGGAGAGCGAGGGCAGAGCACTCAGAAGGCCAAGCACTGAGCCCTGGGCAGCCCAGTTGTTCAAGTCCCAGCGGAAGAAGAGGAAGCAGCCCAGGATTTCTGCAGGCTCAGCCAGCGAGGCAGGAGAAAGCCGGGTGGGTACAGAGCCACACAACCCCCAGGAAGGAAAGTCATCACAGAGGAGGAGGAGAAGCGGTGGAGTACTACTGAGCCGACACACCCGTCCCCCCACCCCATAAAGGACTGAGAATTCCCCATGGAGTGTGGCAGTTGGCCGGACCCTGTAATTTACTCTAGGAACCAGACACTTCTGAGAGTCATTAGTAATGACACCAGGACAACAGGTATAAATCAGAATCATCCCAGACAAAAAAGGACGGCCTGTCACCCTAGTTATTGGTGCCCGGGCCAGGTGGGTTCCATGTGGAAGTGGAGTCAGAAGGCCAGCTGGAGGAGGAGCCACAGGGACAGTGACACTCAGAGATTCACTGACAGAGTGACTGACAGGTCGTGGGGGGCCCCTGCAATGGAACATTCCTTAGCAGTAGGAAGGAAAGGACCTATTGGCTCCCATAACGCAGGTGAATCTCAGAGCAGTCATGATGACTGAAAGAAGCCGGGCAAAAAAGAGTACACGCAGCATGATTCCTTTATGTAAACATTCCAGAAGGGACGATCGGTGTATAGGGAGAGATGGTAGCCGGGTGGTTGCCTGGGGCTGGGGAAGGAGGCAGGGGAGACGGGTTACCGAGGGGCATAGGCATATTTGTTCTTTTGAGTGTGATGGTTTCATCGGTGTAGACACGTGTTAAAACTGATCAAGCCGTACCCATTAAAAATGCACAGCTTATCGTATGGGGTATGTGTTCTATTCCTCCATAAAGCTGGGGAAAGAGTTGCTGTCAAGAGGACAAGCCAAGTGGAACAGTAGCAGGAGGTGTGATTTTATCTTACGCATAGAAGGAAGCGAGTTGAACCTGCGTGATGTAGGGGCATTTATGCTGGGGAGGACAGGGAGAGAGGAGAGCTAGGTGGGGACCCTTTGTGAAGGTTACTGCATGTCTGTGGAGGGCTTTGGCATTTATCCCATCATCGGCATGGTTTTCCACTCTGTCGTGTGAAGAAATCATCTGGAGAACTTGTTCTGAGTGCAGAGGTTACCTGGAGACTGCCCTTGAGACAGTGGTCCTCACACGGCATCCTCCCGGCTCCCCTCCAACTGCAGCTGCCACGGACACGGGACAGTCCCCACGTGTGGACGGTGCCCTGCCTCAGGTGCTTGTGGGGTGCTCTGCCAGGGGGGCACACTCAGCTTGTGCATGTGTGGGGGCATTGTTGCCCCGAGGGCAGCCTTCAGCAGGCAGTGGATCCGTGTCCCAGTCTCGGAGAGACATTTGCAAGGTACATTTAAGCAGAAGCCTCCCATGATCTGATTTCAGTTAAAAAGAAAAAAAAAAAAAAAAGACAGACATGAAAGAAAGAAAGAAAGAAAGAAAGAAAAAAAAAAAAAAAAAAAAGACACACTGCTGCATAGAAAATGAAGTGTGAGTGCAGGATTTGTAGGAGACGGCCCAGAGTGGAAGCGGAGAGACCAATTAGGAGGCGACAGTGATGTCTCTGGCAGAGACCCTGGTGGCCTGGGCCAGGAAGGCCGCAGCACGTTCAGGGCAAAAAGGTCAGACCCCAGAAGTGTTCTGGAGGAGAGGCGAGGGACAGCTGACAGACCGGATGGGCGAGTGGGAAAGTGAGCAGGATAGAGGGGGCTGCGAGGTTTTTGGCGACTGCTTCAGCGGTGGAGCCGTTTTTAATACAGGTGAAGGCCAGGCTGGGAGAAAGTCAGTTCTTGGAGTTCCGCAGAGGACCCCTGTGGGAAGGAACACCAGCTGACCACAGCAGTGACCAGCCCCCCAAAACTGAGTTTTTCCTTTTTCCTGCCCTATCTTACTTTCCCCGTTTCCTCTTGGAATCCAAATACAAGTCCTTGTCTCCGCCTCTGCTTTTACGGTACCCCAATGACAGCACCCGCGGAGGCCAGGGAGGCTGTGTTGTATAAGCACTCCAGGCTTTGTGGCGCAGATGGTCCCAGGAACTGGACTTTAAAGAACACTGCTATAGGCTGTGAAAAAAACATGAAGGATTTCACACAGGGGAATGACTGGGCAGATTTGCTCTTGTAGAAAATTAACTCTGGTGGCAATGTGAAGTTGAAGTGAAAGTAGCAAGAGATGGGAAGCAGGGAGACCAATTAGTAGGCTATTACAAATGTCCCAACAGGAGGTAATGATGACGAAGGCAGCGATTGAGGCTGCCTCTTTGTGAAAGTCCTTTGATTTATGGAGTACATAACGGTTCGCACAGAAATGAGACCGAGCCTCGTTTCACACCCCCAGCGCTGTCGTTTTCAAAAGCTCCCATTTCCAGCATTTCACATTTTCCTTTCTTTTTTTGGTATCTTCGACTTCCAAAATTCGATACATCAGTCTGATGCCATGCATCTCCGTTTTGTTAAATCTTATGATTTCAGGATCTTGACATGGGTGCCAAGGACGTGAAGCTTTACGTCAACAGGAACCTCATCTTCAGTGGCGAGTTAGACAAAGCAGATAGGGAGGCCCCGGCGGACCGCAGCATCCTGGTTGACCAGAAGAACGAGAAGAGCGAGCGACTGGAGAACCCCGTGAACGCTCACCCGGAAGAAAGCAGAGGTGCCCACGAGATGGCTGGCAACGGGGACAGGGAGCTTGGTCTCGGTTGCTCACAGCCAGCTGAAACATTAGTGGATGCAAAGCGCTCTTCTCAAGGAAACATGTCTGGCGAAAGGATGAATTCTACTAATTGCAGGAGAGACAGTTTGTCCCCGTTAGAGGAATATTTGACACTGTCAGCAGCCCCCGCTTCGATGGGTGACAGGCCCAGTGTTCCTGCCACCTCCCCACCTGTGAGGTGCCCTCCTGTCCATGAGGAACCCTCTCTCATCCAACAACTGGAAAACCTCATGGGCAGAAAAATCTCTGAGCCACCCGGGAGAACGCCACTGTGGTTACAACCTTCTCCCACCGGGAAGGACGGGAAGCAGGGAGGCGGGAAGCCAAAACCCCTCTGGCTTAGTCCCGAGAAGCCACTGGCCTGGAAGGGCAGGCTCCCGTCAGAAGATGTCATCTGTGAGGGTCCCAGAGAGACCGAGGCCGAGGATAAAGGCCACCGGCGTGATCCAGGGCGGGGGACCAGCCGGAGTGTCAACACCAAGGAGAGACCCCGGAGGGCAACCCCCAAAGTCTGCAGTGATGACGTAGACATCTTTGACGAGCCCCCCAGCAGAGAGCACCCTGCTAGTGGGAGGAGGGGCTCAAGGAAGGATGCTGGCAGCAGTAGTCATGGTGATGACCAGCCAGCCAGCAGAGGTAAGCTCCAAAAAGCAGCCTGACTTTGGCACCGTCACCCCAGTGCCTCTAATTGGCATGAAGCCATTTAGCTCCCTGGACTTCACTTTCCTTATCCGCAAAACAAGGTGGTGCTTCTCAACTAAGGGTCACGAAATCACTGTCTCAGGGGCCAAAGAGGTGCATCAGTGAGTGAAATGGGCAAGACATTTTGCATGGTAAATTCATAGATGCGTTTGCCATTGCCACCAAGATATGTCCCTTTGCCCGTTTGTCTTGCAACCCATGGCTTTTCCAAGCCATTTCCAATAGACTTTGTTCTTCTACCTTTCATGGAGACATTGATCCACGGTCACTTCGCTTTACCCTTAGCTGTACTGTTAGAGAAATAGCTAGCTACAGTGGCCAGGCCTGTAATCCCAGCACTTGGGGAAGCCGAGGCAGGAGGATCGCTTGAGCCCAGGAGGTCGAGGCTGCAGTGAGCCATGATTGCACCACTGCACTCCAGCCTCGGCGACACAGCAAAACTCTGTCTCAAAGAAGAAAAAGAAAAAATAATAACACACGTGTAATGATGCATAGCAATTGACACGTGCCTGGGTATTGGAAGTGGCACAGGGAATGATGAGGACTTTGGCAATTTGGAAACCATAAGCCCACCCACAGGGCGGCTGCCAGTCCGCTCAGGTTTCTAGTCAGCATTCAGGAGTGCAAGGCCCGGCCAGCTGCTGTGGCTCCTGCCTATAATCCCAGCACTTTGGGAGGCTGAGGCAGGCAGATCACCTGAGGCCAGGAGTTCAAGACCAGCCTGGCCAATATAGTGAAACCCCTGACTCTACTAAAAATAAAATTCACCAGGCATGGTGGTGTGTGCCTATAATCCCAGCTTCTTGGGAGGCTGAGACAGGAGGGTCTCTTGAACCCAAGAGGTGGAGGCTACAGTGAGCCGAGATTGTGCCACTGTACTCCAGCCTGGGTGACAGCAAGACTCCATCTCAAAAAAAAGAATGAATGCAAGGCCAGTGTACCAGACCTCCCCTTTACATTTTCCAAGATAAACCAGAATTTTTTGTTTGTTTGTTTAGTTTTTGAGACAGAGTTTTGCTCTTATTGCTCAGGCTGGAGTGCAATGGCATGATCTCGGCTCACTGTAACCTCTGCCTCCCAGTTTCAAGCGATTCTCCTGCCTCAGTCTCCCGAGTAGCTAGGATTACAGGCATGGGGCCCCACGCCCGGCTAACTTTGTATTTTTAGTAGAGATAGGGTTTCTCTATGTTGGTCAGGCTGGTCTCAAACTCCTGACCTCACATGATTCACCCGCCTCTGCCTCCCA